AAATCTTCGACTCCCCATTTGTCAGAGGTTCCCGCAAGGGCTTGACGGAATCATCTGGAAGACCAAACCGGATCGATGTTCTTGCCGCTACAGATTAAGGTATCCACTTTCGTATAATTCTCAATAATTTGATGTGAAGGTCTCTACAGTATTTGGATTATTCCAACAAACAACTGCACGAAAATTATTGTTTACAAAAAGATATTCTATAGAAAATATAATTATTCATAAATCTCTGTAATTTTTCTTCATTTTTTCTTACTCTGCTCCAAAATTTATCTACTACATTTCGTATTTTTTGCATATTAAAATGTCGTTGCAATACTTGAACTTATCCGATTTTAAGGTACTATTATAATCTCTAAGGCAAACTGTGCAATAAATAGATCAATTCTCTCTCTCTTTTTATTGTGCTCTCTCTATTTATTCTTTCTTTTAGTTTTATATCTTTATTTTCGAATCTATTTCTATAACAAAGATAATATTATAAATAAATATTAATGTAGATGTCCAGAAGAGTTGAATAAGAACTCAAGTACTTGAAGAATAGTTGTTAGTTTGTTTTGTACATGTGCATGTGTGTATATATGTTTCCCTATAAAAAGAGATCAGTACTATGAATCAAAATACATATCAATTCCCCACTACTTATTTTCTCTATAGAATTTCACTCTTATTCGTTTAGTTCATTTTATAACAATTTATTAGCACGATTGCCTACCAGTTGGAAACGGCTTCTACCTACTTACTATGATAAACAAAGCGGACATTCAAATATGCAACATTTGTTTGCCAAAAAAGCAACTTGATTTATAGTACTCCTATTATATATCTTGGTTAGTTTTAAAATTTCTTGTACTACTATTATCTTGATTAGTTTTTGGTATTTGGTACAGTGGGCTGGTTTCATTGGAAAGAAAGTTGAAAACAAAATACGGAATACTTAAGTGCAGTATGTTATGTGACAAGTAGTGCAGGGTTTAAAATCTTGTTAATTTGTTCATTTTAAATGTCTAAAAATCATTTCATATTTTGGAGTTGGAATTAGCTTTGCTTTACTTTTATTGACGTGTTTTAGATTAAAGAGTGCATTGAAATGCTATTTGTTAATGAATACTAACTGTTTTGATATTGGGTGAAGAAAGAAACGAAGAAAAATGATCATCAAAATAACTCTTCATCATTTCGCCAATTCTTGGTTTAGAACGATCAATTCACTCTGTATTAGACTAACCAAACTCTTTATATCATGCTACAAGAAACTCCGTAGGTAAAACTCTTTAATATGTGTGCCCTCTCTTCATACACAAATTAATATAAGACACCATTGATCACTTTCAGGTGTAGAGTATTATACACAATTCAAATTTGCTGAAAATATAAAAACATCCATTGACTAGCAAATAAATTATCAAAGAGTCCTCGTACGACTTAAAATTGATATATACATATGAAGTCTGTTATAAAAGGGCTAAAGAAAAACCTCTTTGTACTTCCAAGAAACCCTCCGTGATTTTTCCTAAAGTCTAATAAAATCAAATATACACTTCTAAATCCAGTTTACTTTTTACGATCTCACAAAATTTGAATTTTGGATTTAAAAAGGATATTTGATATTACTAGAGTTTGAAAAAAAATAATAAAGGAGGATTTCTGTAGGGTATAAGTGTCTTTTCAGCACTTTTTGGCCAAGTTCATGTGCATACATCAATGTCAGTCATCGGAGGAGCCTTGTGATGATTGACTTGTCAATTAAGGAAGGATTTCAATATTCTCTTAAACAGTAAAGATGTTTTTGATATCAGCTATATTTTTGGATTTTTTATATTAAATCTTTTTTTATATATATATAAAAAAGGAGACCGCTTTAATTTAGATGAAAAATTATAATAAATATGAAATTGCCAAAATATCCTTAATTTCTTTTGCTTGGGACTTGATTTTTTATTATTTTGTAGACCTTGGAACTAATTTTTAAATTCCTATAATTTCGGATGGTATTATTTGAATTTTCCAGCCCTTTGGACTAAACACCTTATTTTTCAGTTTTAAAATAATTGTTCATGTGTAAGTAGGAAACAAAAAAATATCTGATTTTGATTCTAACGACGAATTTTTTTGAATTTTCACTTTTAGTGCAAATTCAAATTTATTCACTTATTTCTTGACAAAACGAGTATATGAGGCCACGGCTATGAGACCAACATGATTGAAGTGAACCCAGAGTCGCTGCTATTTTATTTATTTATTTATTATTTGTGCGTTTGGGCCTTCCATTTGTGTTCACTTTTGTTCAGCCATTCGAGTTGGCCTTCCTTAGATCTTTCATTAACATTATTATTAGCTTATTAATTTGTGGCGTGTTAATTTAATTATTACTTTCATGATTTCTGAAGCGTTAGAATTTTGAGTGTAATCACAAGTTAATTAATTATTTTTCAAATTATTACAAAAAGAGGTGAAAGAGTCTAAAATCATCATGTAGTATAATAAGTTACTAAAAATAGATGCTGAAATCAAAGAAGAACTCTTAATTAATGACAAGTTATTTGACTGATATATATATATATATATATATATATATATAGACACACACACACACACCAGCCGTATATGAATTCTTGAAGTAGAGTATTGTGTACATTGGGGTTTTCTAAGAAATCTCTTTATAAATCTCTATCCTTGTGAAACCCTACTGAAAATCATTCGAAGAAGAGGTTTTGTTTTCCCCCCATCGGTTTTATTTAGTAAATTTGTTCCAAAGAAAAATTTCCATTTGTTGACCATAATGAATTTCTTAAGGATCGTTTTGCACAATCTCTATATAAACATGTGTTTCAAGGTGTGTTTTTTTTTTTTTTTAAACTCTTTTCCTTTTGATATATGAGTGGTGATACATGTAAGAAAAGTTAAACAAAAAAATTTAACGGAAATGAGAAGGTTAAATCTTAATTAATTTCTAATTTTTAAATGGATAAACTCCTAAAGAAAATATATAAACATGGACGGTTTATAATCTTTTCATGGTTAAAATTTCTTGTAAAATTTTACTGGACGATTCATACGCGCGTATTTCTAGTGTGTCTAAATTCATTGTTTGATGATTCATTCTTTAATTTCATATTGTTTGATACTCAATATCTCAACGCAGGAATAAATTATAAAAGCGGTATGTAATAGTAAAAATTCTTATAAAGGGCGCTCCACTTTTCAATATTCTTGAGAAGGGCGTGAAATTTTAAAACTTCTAGTTAAGGGCGCAATAAATATTTAGTGCACTGAATATTTTTTTGATGACATGTTTAACCTTTTATCAATAATAACTCACACTATAATATTTTTACCATAATTTTGGAAGAAGAGATATTTCATTAATTTTTTCGAAATTAGCTCCTGCATAAATTCTCCTCAAAATAGTTTCAATTCCATGATACGCAGAAAACTCAACTGTGGTGTCTGTTTGTAAATAATTACACCATGAGCAACCTTTTTAGATAAATTTTTCCACGTGATGTCAAAAACAACAAAAGAAAATTAATATTTTCATCCTAATGAGAAACATAATTTTTTTTTTCAAAAGAAAAATGGATTACGTCAAAGACTTCTCTTGGAACACATAATCAACAAACGGAAGTTTGCATTAGCAAAAGTGAATTTTAGCATAAAATTGAAAAGCAAATATAATTGGCATCTTTTCTGGTTTACAAAATCACCATATAACATGCTGAGATTTCTACCTCATATTCTTCTTCTTTTTTTCAAAAACAAAATTGAGACTACTAAACTTAAAATTATAGCAATTCAAGTAAGTCAAAAGTAATATAATCTGTCATATTGAGTTCCGAAGGATTTTTTTTTTTTTTTTTGAGTAAGAAATTAGAAGAATCCAACATACAATTAATAGGCATAATAGTTTGGCAGGAAATAAATGAAATATGTCATTAATAATTACATAAAAGGGTAGAGATGTCAAGAAATTATATTTAGTGTATTCAGACATTTATTACGCCCTTATCAGGAATTTTCAAACTTTTACACCCTTATGTGGAATTATAAAAGTTGTAATGCCCTTAATAAGAATTCTCCCTGTAATAATAAATAATAAATCATTTAAAGTACAAAACAATATTCAGCATATCTGCCATACGAAGCACCAAATATGAAATAACTATGGAAAATTTACCCCAAAAAGTATTAACTAGGGGAAAAATAAAAATTTTAGTCTTAATTAGTAATCTCGGATTCTATTTATAAATTAAAATTTAAAATTAAATTAATTAATATTTGTACCTAATAAAATATACTGAAAGTAGTATTTATTATTGTCTAGTAACATTATAAGAGGAAAATTTTATGTCAACTTATATATGTCATCATCAAGTACCAAATGTTGTACCATTAGCAAAAGTTAAAAATTAGTTATGTACAACAAAATGTATAAGAGTTTTATTTTCAAATGTACGTACTATGTATAGTTAATCGCAGAAGAAAACAATGAAAAAAAGAAATGCTGTTTACTAATTATTTTTCCATTTATGCAACTTTGCAATTGTGGGTAACAAATGATCATCATATTAGTAAAAGCCATTAGATGATTATAAAAAATTGTATTCAGCCCATTTTTAGAAAATTCTAAATTTTACAATTTATTTTTTCCTTCAACAAAATATTGGACTTGTGATATTCCTAATTATTAAATATCATGATTGAATCATTAATAATCTAAAAGTTAAATTTACATCACTTTTCTGGACTATTATTCTAAATGTGAAAAGGAAAACTTTCAAATTTCAAAGGGTCGAAAGAAGGGTTTTTTTTTTTTTTAAAAAAAAATACTTTTATTAATTTGTTGGAAATCGTTCGAAACTATCGTAATACTATATTTTTCTACAACTTCCTAGAAAATCAGTACAAATTTTGAATTTTCATTTTCAAAATTGGACTAATCATTGTATTGTAAGATAGAAGGTGATATTTTCATATTTCCAATAGTACATCCATGAGAGTGACGCATGAAATTTGGTAGTACATATGTATTGTAATATAATTTCCTACAACTTCCTGAAAATTAAGTTTAGTAAATAAAAAGTAAAGATATTCCCGAGACAACTATTTCAAAATGTTTGAAAACACCATCACTACTACTTCAATATCCAAAACAAGCAAAATCATAACCTCCAGATTATCGAATTCGAGTTATTAATCGGAAAGTCTGCTTCACAACAACAACGAGGGAGGGCGTAATATTATACCAAAAGAAACTCTAGATAAATTAAAATAATATTACAAAATGCAAACTCTAAAGTACTTTTTACTACTGTAACTAGATAGGTAGGTGGAAAATTTTGCTAAAAATCTACTTTTAATTTGATAGCTTTTTGTGGGGCGAATTGGGGCAGTTTTCCTTGTCCAGCACATGATCATCTGAAGAACTAGGGGCTACAACATTATTATTACCAAGTGTTGATGTTGCTGTTGTTCCTGGTTGTTGTTGTTGTTGGCTGTACAACGTACTCAACTGATGAAAATAAGGACAAGTCCTTGACTCAACTGACCTCTTCTTGTTGCTGTCTTTCGTCTTCCTGAAATACTTGTTGATGTTTTCCCATTTCTCTTTGCACCTTTTTGCGCTTCTTCTGTACCCCAGTTCTAGCATCCCTTGTGATATTCTCTCCCATAATGGACCTTTTGGTTCCCTGTCATGATCAGCGGTGGTGGTACCAATATTGCTGTTGTTGGTTTGGCTGCATTTGAGGTTTATCAATGCCTGCACTTCATCCCTCGGCCATCTTTTTCCGGTGTCTTTCTGTCCTTTCTCCGTCGACTTTTGGGATGATTTTCGGGTGGTTGAAGAGAAGTTCTTGTTCAGGGGGACTAATGTAAGGGAGTTTTCATTAGGGCTTTTGGAAGTTAAGGCTAAGACAGATGTAGAAGAGGTTGCTTGTGGGTTTTTGGGTGATGGGGTTGTTTCACTAGATGAAGTAGCTATAGGCAGAAGATTGGTAGTAGTAGTAGTAGTAGTAGTAGGGTTATGATGATGAATCTGAGGAAATATTTCAGATGATGAAGTGGTAACAGAAGTGGAACTACTTGAAGCATTATTTCTTACCTTGAAGAAATCTTCAATTTTCCTCATCAAGTTTTGATCTTGTTCGTGATGAGCAGTACCAGTACTAATGGTGGTGAACTTCTTCAAAAGATCAATTATTTTGGCTTGCCTGTCACCTGCAATGACTTGTTCTTGAGCTCTCACCTGGATTTCCTTGTTGAATCTCTCCGTTTCTTGACACTTCCATGCTTCCTCTCTTGCAATGCATTCCTCATCCCTTTTCAGCATATCATCAATGAGCTTATTGTGTAAGTCTTCTTGCTGAGCAACAATCCTCTTCACAACAGTTTCACAAAAACCCTTGAACATTTCCAACTTGTATCTCCTTTTCCTCTTCTTGTTGTTACCAGTACTACTTTGGGTTGTTTCCTTCACCAAGGAATTAGCTGGATGATTCCCTTCTTGACGAGAAGGGTCGGAAGAAGTGACTGCATTTTCTGTTTCCTGATCAGCTTCTAGTTGCTGATGACTTAGGTCCATCTTGTCTTCTTCTTGTGCATCTTCTTCTTCATGTTGTTGTTGATGATGATGATGATCTTTTTCTCTTTCCAAATCTTGGTCCTTTCCATTTGAAACTTGCGGCTGTGGATGATTACTTTGTTGATCTTGATCATCATCTTCATTGTAAAGCTCATCAAGATCACTGAAGAATCTGTAGTTCTTGTTGTAACTCATGCTGTTGAAATGCCTGCTTTCTTCCTCAAATTTCTCCTTGCATTTCTCAGCTCTCCTTTGATAACCATGCTCCTCAAGCTTCCTGCATTGTCCATAATCAATATCCATAAATAAATTGTAAAACCCCAAATCACAACCTCAGTAAGTTATTACTACCATAAATTCTAAGAACACTATATATGAAGTAGGAATATTCTTTCTGTATTCATTCATTCATCATTCACACACACTTCCTCAGTGTGTGTTTGTCTCTGTCTCTCTCTCTCTCACACACACACACACACACACAATTTATTTTAGTGGATTGGAAATAAAAAGGAAATATGCATCCTAGGTTGCCTAGGAGAGCTAGCTAGACACAAAAAAAAATGAAATTTTATACAGAACCAAGATTCTGGAAGTTAGTGCAATTGCATTAAAAAGAGTACAAATATATGAGTCCAAGGAGCAAGATAAAGTTAGTTCACTTTTTAGAATCAAATCACACCCAGCTAGCTAGATGATTCACTTTTTTTTTCCTTTGATTTATCATACATCAATACTGTGTAATGAAATTGATGTTACATAAAGAGTGGTTCCTTTTACCTTGAAACATGTTCCCAAGTGAATTCTGGAAACCAATTCTCCATCCCAGATCTGATTCTCAGCAGTGTAAGAACTTCATCATTTGACCATGGAATCTCATCAGCATCAGCCGCCGCCGCCGCTGGTGGTGGTGGGATTGATCGCCGCCGCCGATCCTCTTCTTCTCCTTCCAAACTCTCCGTATTTCTTTCCTCACGGTTACCATTATTGCCGCTGTCGGCGGGCGGCGACGGTGACGGGCGGTGGTGCAATTGGCCCGGATGGAGCCCACTATGGTGGTGGTGTTGCGGCGGCTGTTGTACTACCTCAAGTATTTGATGAGATGGGTACAGATCAAAACAGCCCAGAAAACCCGCCGTCGGCCCTGGAGTTGGAGCCGGAGTAGTAATCACCGGTGCCGGCGGTGGTGGCGGTGCAGACACTGAAGACGGCGGAATCGGAATTTGAATCGGAACCGGAACTGGAACAGAAACCCCATGATGTTGTTGAAGATGTTGATGATGATGATGATGATGAAGAGGAGAAAAAGAAAGAGGGATAGGAAGTGAAGTTCTTGAAGAAGCAGCAGCAGCTAAGAATTGATGGAATTGGTCAGCTGGAACACCATCAAACATGTTTGTTGTAAGGAGCTTTTTATTTTTGTGTGTAAGTTCTTAAAACCTTTAAAAAGTAAGCCCTTTTTAATTTAGAGTTCCTTTTTTCCACACTCACTCTCTTCAAAGCTCAAAAACCCTTTTGCCAATTTTTTTTTTTTTTAATCCTTTTGCTTTTGGCTCAGTACTGTAATGTAAAGAAGTAGTAAAATGGGACACAACAAACTGAAGAAAGAAATTTTGGTAACGTTATAACCCCATACAAAAACCTCACACACACTCACACAGTGACAGGAGTAAGCAAAAGCAAATCTCTTTCTAGTTTCCACCTCTCTCTCTCTCATATTCATCAAAGAATTTTGTCTTTTATTGCAGGAGAAGTAATGGGGGTTGTCCCCCAAAACAAACTGATTAAGAAAAAGAGGAAATTAAAAATATATATTTAAAAAGAAATTGGTGTGCAAAAAGGTGATGCTAAAGTCCAATAAGGGCAGAGAGGGGGAAGAAGTCAGGACATGTGATTGGAGGGTGCAGTTCACGTGTCACTGACACACGTGGGGGGGTTTGGGCAGTGAAATCTAGGGGTGGGCGAGAAGGAAGGAACTGTGGAGTGAATTTTGGGAGTATGTACAGAAAAAAAAAATGAAAATAAAAAAAGGGGAAAAATTTTAATAATAAATGAATTGGGTTCCACAGGGAGCTAAGAATCCTATGCAGAAGGTGGTGGCTGATGATGGTGTAATTAACGGCAATAGATAGCAAGACACGTGAATGCATGCAGTACATGGGACCAATTTATTTATGGGAGGTTATATCGAGTGAGGAAGGGCAGGATATGGAGGGAACCAAAATTACAATTTGTCACGCGGTTACTTAAATCTTTCGTCCCAAAATATTTGTCGTGAGATCATTCTTACTTAATCATTCGTACGTTAGTCGGTATTACGAAATTGATTAGTAACACTAAGAAGCGCAAACGTTAGGCATTTTTGTTAATTAATCATCCTTACGATTCATGGGCGTTTCATTAAAAATGCACAATAATACGGTAACACGGAGAGACGGGAAAGGATGCAATCATGAAAGAGGGCACATTTTGGGGTTGCGCGGGAGAGAATGAATTTTCAATTTTCATAATGCTAAAAAATTATGAAAATAATTATTGTTGTTGTTTCCACGCCACCGACTTAAGGTTTTCCCGAAAATAGTGCTGATATTTGATACCACCGTCTATGGAATACAGCCATCATTGCTTCATCTGGAAATGGGATCAATCTGAATCTGGTTTTGTTTGATCTCTCCCTCCAAAAATAAACTGTAATTTAAAAATCTTGTCTCAACAAAATTAGTTGATATCCAGCTTTTTTTAAAAAAAGATTACCACTACAACAAGTGAGACATAATCCTTAGTTAGCAAAATAATTGTTCTATTTATTGTACTACAATTATATTTGACTCATCTCAAAAAAAAAAAAAATACACATTACAATAAACAGGACATCTCATATTAATTATACTTGACTCATCTACATATTATAGTGGTTTTAGTATAGTTCAAAAATTATAATGTAAGCATTCTTTTTTAAATAGAAAAAGTACAATAAACAGGACATCTCATTTTAGAACACGTGACTATAACAAATGAGAAAACAAATAATGAATGGCTCATTTTAAGTTACATATCGTAATTTAAATCGTATTTTTTAACAGAAATTTCAATTTTATTAGAAAGAGAAGGTGATATTATTATTTTCTTTTTGAAAAAATGATGGTCTAATTTATACTTTTATTAAGTATTTCAAACTGAACAATCATTATGGGACGAAAAAAAAAACAAACTTACAATGTAGACACAATCTTCCCCATGGCACCAAACTTCTAACTAGCATACAAGCTATATCTAAAATATGCTACATTCATTTATTTCATATATGGTATTCTTTTAGCAATGATATAGGATACATTATTGATTTTCACATAACCGGACTATGGAATGATACATAAGTATTGAGATCAATCTGCTCATATCGCTCCATAGGTTCAATAGTCTCTCAAAATATTATCCTGAAATTAGGACGGAAAAAAAAAAAAAGGAAAGATGCTCTCAATTGTTGAAATAAGCTTCTGCTGTCTAAAAGTTAGCACATAAAAACCGAGCTGCCAAAATTTGATTGACTCGGAATTGTAGATACTTAGTATATTTGTCATAAAATTTGCTTTTGAGATGATCCAAAACCCTTTTTTCATTAACTAGATGAATTATAATCGGAGCAAAAGTGAAGAGAATTTTTTTTTTAAAAAAAAAAACCATACTAAAATGAACTATCTTTTGAAATAAAGAGGATAACTTATGGGATAATTTGGATAAAGGACTGTGGAAGATATGTAATTAAGAAAGAGGACGGTATCTTTAAATAATTTTTATCAAGGGCAATATAACTTCACTTCCAAACATGACTTTCACTCTTCATCTAATCAATTTTCATCCATTTTAATTTTTCATAAGCAAATTCAAATCTACTTGCAAAGTTTAAATTTGATAATATATTAATCTACAAAATTAAAAAATATGATAAGACAAAAGAAATAATTATATTATTTAAAATACAGTGGTTAATTGTTCACAATTTGGAAGATTCATTTTTCTTAGATAATAATATTGATATTTAAAATAGACAAATTTTATCTTTTTAATATGAACTAAGTTTTAAATGAAATTGTCAAAAAAAAAAATTACAAAAAACTGGTGGTTAATTGAACCGTTACAACAAATTTTGTAAAACTTCATTAATCTATTTTGTACTTTTATGCCACCAAAGTTTTCTAAAAATATAATAAATAAAAATTGTAAATATTTATTTTGAACAATGAGTGTACGTATAGATGTAATATTTATAGTCACGTGTGTAATACTATAATACTCACAAAAAAATATATATATCTGGAATAAAAAAAATTTCAAATTTATTGAAGGTAAAAAAAATTAATTTGTTTGAAAAATATAACTAAAGTCATGTTTGGAATTAGAGTTTGGTGTGCCCTTAACACAAATTATTTAAAAGTACTACCCTATTTATGAATTATTGATCCTCCACTGCCCTTTATCCAAATTTTTCCATAACTTATTACATGTATTTGAGTATTGGTTACCAAGTCCAGGTTAATACTCCATTCGTGTTGTAGTTAAGAGCAAAATTTTAATGATTTTTTTAATTATTGACAAAGAGTATATTTACAATTTTACTAATCAAAATAAGAGTAATATATAGCATATTTAGTGGATTTCTTCTCACCGTCCACCAAATTGCTAACAACCATCAAAATAGGACTATTTTGCCCCTTTGAAACCTAAATTATTTTGAAACTTAAACAATTTCAAACTTAAATCAAGAGTAATTTTGAAACTTGAAAAAATAGAGAATTAGCACAAAGGAGTAGCCCACGGCACCACAAAGATACATATATTTTTTTTTTACAGAAACTTAAAAAAATAAAAAAAAAAACAAAAAATTTCTAGCGAGGAGGCTCATCATCCCACTGTGAATCAAAAGATTCCGGGGGACCAGACTGTCACTGGTTGGAAGCTGGTGAGAAGAAGCCGGTTAGAAGCCTATGATCGTGGCGGGCTGGTTTGCCAGAATCTTCTTATTCACGGCGGACTACTGAGTTGTTTAATAAATTTAATTAGTTAGAAAAATTTATGAAAATTCATAAATAAAACACTAGGGCCTGTTTGATAAAAATTATTGCTTAATTCTGAATGCTTGTCTTTGTCTTGTATATTTGTCATAAAATTGTAGATACTTTCCTTAGTATATTTGTCATAAAATTTGCTTTTGAGATGATCCAAAACCCTTTTTCATTAACTAGCTGGATTATAATCGGAGCAAAAATGAAGAGAATTAATAAAAAACATACTAAAATAAACTATCTTTTGAGATGAAGAGGATAACTTATATACTTGTATTTGAGTATTGGTTGCCAAGTCCAGTTTAATACTCCATTCATGTTGTAGTTAAGAGCAAAATTTTAATGATTTTTTAATGATTAACAAAGAGTATATTTACAATGTTACTAATTAAAAAAAGAGTAATATACAACATATTTAGTGAATTGCTTCTCACCAAATTGCTAACAACCGTCAAAATGGAACGGTTTTGCCCCTTTGAAACCTAAATTATTCTGAAACTTAAATAACTTCAATCTTAAATCAAGAGTAATTTTGAAGCTTGAAAAAATGGAGAATCAGCATAAAGGAGTAGCCCACGGCACGACAAAGATGCGGATATAATATATATATATATATACCAAATCTTAAAAAAGCAAAAAAAAAAAAAAAAAAAGAAAAGTTTCTGGCGAGAAGGCTCATCAGCCCGCTGTGAATCAAAAGATTCCGGGGGACCAGACTGTTACTGGTTGGAAGTTGGTGAGAAGAAGCCGGTTAGAAGCTTATGATCGTGGCGGGCTGGTTTGCCAGGATCTTCTTATTCAGGGCGGGCTACTGAGTTGTTTAATAAATTTAATTAGTTAGAACAATTTATGAAAATTCATAAATAAAATATTAGGGTCTGTTTGATAAAAATTATTGCTTAATTCTGAATGCTTGTCTTTGTCTTGTATATTTGTCATAAAATTGTAGATACTTTCATTAGTATATTTGTCATAAAATTTGCTTTTGAGATTATCCAAAACCCTTTTCATTAACTAGTTGGATTATAATCGGAGCAAAAATGAAGAGAATTAAAAAAAAAAAAAAAAAGCCATACTAAAATGAATTATCTTTTGAGATGAAGAGGATAACTTATATACATGTATTTGAGTATTGGTTACCAAGTCCAGTTTAATACTCCATTCGTGTGGTAGTTAAGAGCAAGATTTTAATAATTTTTTTAATGATTGACAAAAGGTTTATTTACAATTTTACTAATCAAAATAAGAGTAATATATAGCATATTTAGTGGATTGCTCCTCACCGTCCACCAAATTACTATCAACCATCAAAATAGGACGGTTTTGCACCTTTGAAACCTAAATTATTTTGAAACTTAAACAAATTCAAACTTAAATCAAAAGTAATATTGAAACTTGAAAAAATAGAGAATCAGCACAAAAGAGTAGCCCACAACACGACAAAGATGCGGATATTTTTTTATTATTTTTTTTACCAAATCTTAAAAATGCAAAAAAAAAAAAAAAAGAAAAATTTGTAGCGAGGAGGCTCATCAGCTTACTGTGAATCAAAAGATTCCGAGAGACCAGCCCGTCATTGGTTGGAAGCTGGTGAGAAGAAGCAGGTTGGAAGCCTCTGACCGTGGCAACCTTGTTTTGCCAAGATCTTCTGATTCACGGCGTGCTGCTGAGTTGAATAAATTTAATTAGTTAGAACAATTTATGCAAATTCAGAAATAAAACTTCCTGTTTGATAAAAATTATT